GCCCAAATCGCCAAAATACACAACATTGGAGTGTATGGGGACTGCCCTCAATATCAATAATTTTTGGTACGGAAAAACGCGTCCAAACTTAAAAAACTTACACATAAAACCCAAAAACTCGGAGATTGGGTGGATCCCTAATATGGGGGTATCCTGAGAAGTGAATCAATATTAATAATTTTTGATGGTAAGAGTACCCAAAATATAAAATTACAAGCAATTCGGTTGAAAAACATGTTTAGAATCGCCAAAATACCGAATATTTGGGTGTTTACAGTAATATGGGAGCTACACGAAGTCGTGAACCGATATGCCCCATTTGCAATACCAATATCGTAGGAGTATTAGCAACGCCTGTGCAAAGCCCTATCCTAAATATTGTGATTTCAACATACGGACATGGGTAAACTGACATAGAATTTTATTCTGATTAAGGGATTCCGGATGACAAATTTAATATACATACATATACACCTTATGGTGGAGGGAATTAAAAAATATATATTTTTTACTCAATAAATGAGTCAAGATTAGGGGCGGGCGCGATTATTTTGAAATTTATAGACCCAATGACCCTGATTAAAATTGTGTCAAATCGGAATTTCCTTTTGAATAGAATCGTTTTCGTGGGTGACAAAAGTGTTCACCTATGGACAGATTTCAGTTTTTTAAACAACATTTACATTAGAACTTCTTACCGGGTTAACCCACTTCGAGGATTTATTGGACAAATATACAATGGAATTGACAATTCAATCCGGTACAATGTAAACGTACTATTATTTTAAAAATTTGATTGGCCTTCGGTCGGAGATTAAAGAATATGACCTATGGATAGATTCTAAAATGTTCTGCTTGTTATTCCAAACAGTTGGCGTATGAACAGATTCCAGATTTTTAAACGACATTTTATTAGAACTTTATACCGGGTTAACCCACTTCGAGGATTATACGGCATTTACATTAGAACTTTTTACAGGGTTAACCTACTTTGAGGATTTATTTGGCATATATTCAAAGGAATTGAAAATTTAAACTCACACGGTTAACCAAATCCGGTTCAATGTAAACGACCATTTACTTTGAGAAATATACAATGGAATTGATAATTTAAACTTAACGAAATCCGGTACAATGTAAACGTACTATTATTTTGAAAATTTTACTGGCCTTCGTTTGGAGATTTTCACGTATGAAAAGATTCCAACATTTTCAAACATTTTATTCCAAAAATTTCACCATGAACGATGTCTAGGTTTTTGTCAAAATAAATTTTGATATTCTTTTTTATAAATTATGTCAACAAAGAAAAAAAAAACGCCAATACACTTGAGAACACACATTCCAAATTGACAACACTGTTTAAAACGATGGACGGGCGACACTCTTCAAAAAAGACTCGCGCGCGCACTCACACTTCTAAACACAGGCACAAACAATTTTTTTTATTGTGCTGCCTCAACGAAAGCACAAACACATCATACACACACATTCGTTCACTCCCGTTCATGAAATTATTAAAACATTCACGACAACGGCAACAACAACGGAGACGACGATTTTCATTTATTTTTCCTTTCACTGCTTATCTTCAATTCCTTTGCTTCTGATTTGGTGTGTGTGTCGGTCCGTGTATTTCTTCTTGATTCTATGTGGGTATGACTGTATGTGTGAGTGTGTTTTGTTGTTCTTCTTTTTTTTTGATATTTTTTCGACCAATTTCCGAATTTTCACTTTTTATTTTCAGCTCCCCATTTCAAAAAAATATGATTTTTATTTCATTTTCTTTCGTTTTTTTAGTTCCAACACTTTTTCTCCCTTTACCCGTAGCAAAAAGGAGGGGGGTTCCAACAATTTTTTTTCTGTTCTCATATAGATTCTCGTCAATCTTGTTTGCTTTAGATTATTTTTCTTTTTTTTTGGTCATTCGCTGTCGTTCTAAACTTACCAAAATAAAATTTGAGCTCTTATTTACATTTAATTATTTGTCTACTTCTTGCTTCGGTTCACTACTTCATGTCGTTCTTTGGCGCTATTTATATGACCGAAATACCAACAACACTTGGAATTTCAACAAAAATTCTTATTGGATTTCGTCCACTTTTTTCGTTTTCTTCTCTCTTCTTCACCAATAAAAAAATAAAATAATTCTAGCCAGCGAAGAAGAACCACCGAGCCAGACTGAAAATTTATTAGTTGGGGGGACAGTGATGACGGCGTTGCTCGAAAGAAAAACAAAACAAACAAATGAATAAATGAGAAAAATTAACGCCGTCAAAAAATGTTGTATGGTGGCATAGTAGCTTGGGGATGTGCAGTTGCATTATTGCTGTTTATACATAACGGTAATTGGATTCAAATTGGGATTATTTTAAGATTGTTTTATGTTGGTGTTTATATTATATGTGTTTTAATAAATCACGTTATTTAAAGCCGAAGCAGCGATAATTTCTTGGATTAGCAAATGAGAGTGCTGAGCTTCTTTGTACTAACCCTAGAATCAGAGAACCGACGGTGGATGTGAAAAGGTTAGTCGGCGGGCACACGCGGAAAAAGTGTCTAGAACATCTGAAGTGTTGTAAAATCAGGTCTTACTTACTTAGCTGGCTCATAACAGAATTTTTGTTCCATAAGTCAAAATTAAAAAAAAAAGATTTCCAGGCGCGTCGATCTTGTGCGCAGTTTTTCCCATTTGAAAGATCATATTCGGCAATCTTGTGCGCAGTTTTTCCAATTTGAAAGATCACTTGATCTTTCCATCGAATTCGTGGCCTTCCCTTTCTACGTGGTCAATCAGTTGGCTCGCCTTTATATGTCTTTTGAGCAGATCGGCCACTAGGTATTTCGGAGAATTTTCCCTCAAACACTCCAAGAGCTGTCCCATCTGCATGTGCAAGTACCCATCGTTCTGATCCATACAACAGTAAGGGTAGTATCAATGTCTTGTAGAGTGCGAGTTTAGTGTGGCGAGAGGGGGTTTTGTTTCAGAATTTCTTATTTATACCATAGTAGCATTTGTCTTGTCGTTGGCCATACTCATAATGCAGTTTAGTGTGGCGAGAGAGGGTTTTGTTTCAGAATTTCTTATTTATACCATAGTAGCATTGGTCTTGTCGTTGGCCATCCTCATAATGCACGATACCTGTAAAATGGTATAGGCCTTCTCACTTTTGTCGCCATTAGCTAAGACTCTTGAGGAATTCGTGAATTTTACTCAGTTGATCATCATATCCGCCACTAAGTCAACGGCCACACCAAAAGGACAGCGGAGATGCGGCTACCTTTGAATGTGCAGGTCAATGGGTCCATACGAGGGGTTACGCTCGATAGCCTCTATATGCCGTCCGCAAATGCCAGACTATTTGCGATAAAGCCAGAAGCAGAAACAAGGTTCTCAAGAAAAAACCTTGTTAACAACCCACACAGCAATAGGCTGGTCTGTGGAAAATTATGCGGCTCCAGTGTGGTCCGCCAACGTTAATGCAACGCAATGGAAAATCTTCAATCCTGCCAGAATTGCGCCCTGAGGGCTGCAAGAAGATGTTCTCAATAGACTATTTACATGAGGAGCCGAAGATCATTCTTGTGCGTCAACACAACGAGATGTAGGTGCAATATCTGCTTGGGTGTTATTGAAGTAGCCACACAAATCATCACCTTATGGATAAGCAGCCCTCTTCCTAGTCATGTCAGGAAGGATCTTCAAGATCTGGAGAGAGAGAGAGAGAGAGGGCTCAGCCAAAACCCACTCATCTCACCCCATAGCAGCAGAAGAGCAGCAGCTTCCACGACGAACCAGAGTGGTCTTGACAACCTCTAAGATCTGGAAGGTGTAGCTGCCTCAATTCATATTTGAGTTAAATCTCCAACGGAGTTACCTCTCGTCTGATATATCATCAGCTTCAAATATAAACTTAACCCCCCAAAACATCGACAACAGCTCATGTACCACACGAATCTCCCAACACCCTTGAAGACATAAACACGAGCCTGGAGAGAGGTAGGGACCTTCTCCATCTGATTGACGAAATCGGTTCCTTCAGTTTCAATCAAAAAAATCCCTAGAAGGTGAGTCTCACGGAACTATCCGCATGACTTTTCCAAGGACTTATTGATCAAAATAAATGGCTACAGTTACCCCTCCAATGGCGGAGAAGGGTGTGATTGATGTTGGTGTGGCTGCCTTGTCACTGCCCTGTCTCGACATCAACAAGAGCAGCTTCAAATATCGACCGGATTTTTTTAATCTCACCGAACACCATAACTATCGATAACATAAACGTCAGTCTAATAAGATATACGGAACTTCTTAATCTGATTGACGAAACCAGTTCTTTCTGCCTCAGGTAAGAAGTATCCCGACTCTTGAGTCATTCCTGTTACCACGGAACTATCCGAATGGCATTACGATTGACTTCTTGTTCGAAAGAATTCTAACATCGAGTGTGAAGGTGGCTTCGATTACCCCTCAACGAAGGGGAAGACTGTGAGTTGCCGGGATAATGACTGCGATGTGGCTACCTGGGCACTCCAAATATAAATTTAAATCCCCAATCTCCAATCTCCCAAACCCAGTACTCTCGATGACATAGATACGAGCCTGGTGGGATGTAGGGACCTTCTCGATGTGATTGAGAAAATGTACTCCTTCCCTTGAGTCTCTCGGAAGTATCGCAAGAATTCCTATATCGCGTGTGAATGTTGCTTTAGCCAGAGCACAACCAGGAAAATGATGCCAAAGATTTCTGCTAAATTTAGACTTTCGAGGGGTCCCTGAAACTTGAAAAGTTCTTGATATCATCGTCAAAATTGACTTTGTCGTGCTGAGAGTGTAATAGTGTGTACTAGCCTTTATGTGTCTCCCCCTTTAATCAGCTGTTCGACCATATCAATTTTTCGATTTACAAACCCCTAACATTAGCCGTCTTTGTTTTGTTTCTCAACAATCAGCTGTTCAATTGTTCCAAAACACAATCAATCCTGCATAGAACCAAACAAAACCAATCAAATGGCTGAAGAAATCGATGATAACGGTTTTTATCGTGAAGATTTTAGTGCCGAATCTGATTGGGAGGTATTCAATGCCCAGCTGTGTGATTTATTTCAACGATGGGAGCTTTCCAGCTCGAGTGACTGGGGCGGTGCATTTGATGTGAACAGTGCCCAATGGGCAATTGAGGAGGAACAATTGGAGGTAGTAGGTAAACAAATGACCGTAAAATACTACAAGGCATTGCTAAAACCGAATGCCAAAGACGCTAATTTGCCGGCGGATAATGAGAGACCACCATTCCATGAAGATCTAATGCGAGTGGAGAGTACATTGGCTCAACCGACTTTTCTGGATGAGAAAGCCAATGAGGTGCATTATTTGGCCCGCATGTATGGCCTGCGGCGATTTGTGGTCATGCATCCGACACAATTGCAGAATCATTATCTAACAAAAACCTCCCGGTTTAGTTTCTTCCTGAGTTCCATATCGGTTGTGGCTGCCGAAGTGTGTTCTGCAGTTCCCATTTTCCTGCATATACACGACCCAAAATGGAATTTCTTTTTGGGTGTGGGTATGTCATCGTATATGCGCACAAATTTCCATTCCGTGGCCTTGGAACAGGCACCCTCCGAATATTTATATCTATCGGGTCTGGTGAAAATGTTCAAAGAAAAGTTGCCCAGAAATCATGATAAATCTGCTGTGGTCTCGGTGCGTAACACCTATGCCATGGATACGGTGAAGTTACGTGTACCCATGTACGTTCCCTTTGGCATGACCCCGCAGGTGGATGAGGAACGTTCGGTCATAGATGTTTCGTATTTCACAGCATTGCCACATGGCTATTTTCCCGGTTCGAATACCACAATGTTTGCCACATTTACATGGCCTGAATTGATGGATAATATGTTTATAGACTCACCGCTGCAAACACAATTTATACCATCGAAGGCTCCATGTGGCACCCTATATCAAACGGTACATGCCAATTCGTATTTAACTGCCTGTCTAAAGGATTACTACAATTTAATAACTGCAAAAAATACGCTGGAGTCATATGTGGGACGTAATTTCTCCGGTGCCACAGCAATGGCTGAGGAACGCAATCCCTTGGATCAATTGGGTAAAATCGGGGCAACACATCATCGACAACAGTATGTTGAGAGCACCACTACATCTGGAGGGCAAAATAAATTACCCGGACCCATGAAGGAATATGAATTGAATCCAATGTTGTATTATTTATTTCCGAATATAAGACCGGATATGGCATTGTTCCCCTATGAGAGATTGAGTAAAGATAAGGTAAGGGTTTTGCTTTTTGAAAAATGTTTTCTGTTTTTATGTTAAACCGGTCTTTATTTTTTTAGATCGATCCCCATCGCATTAAATCGGCCGAGTCTGATTCTTTGGTATATCGCCTCAGTTGCCTCTTGGCCACTGTCCACGCCCATTTTGGTGGAAAAAGTGGTCTCGCCCAATTGTATGCTGCATTTACACGAGAATTGCGTCAACTTTGGGAATCATGTACTCTTATACCGGGGTAAGTTTTTGCACCTATATATATATATATATATATATATATATTTTTTTTATAATATTTAAATTATATGGAAAATCAGAATAGTTCTCAAAAATTAGTTCTAAAATAATCCTGAATAGGTGTCGGATATTTAAGATTTAACTCTAGTTTAAGACCCGCTGATTGAACAATTTGACATTTTTATCGTAAGTAGTTCTAGGGGGCCTGATAACAAACATACAATTTTTTCTTGCGGAAACCCAAAATTCCTATGATACGGGCCTCCAAAGTTCAGTTGAATCCTTTTATTTGTATGGGTATTAATTTGAAGCAGTTGTATTGGTAATAATTTTTCGAAGAAGTCCACACAACTCGATTTAAAAAGGAGATAATGTCACGTAGCCGTTGCTGGCATTTGTCCATAGGAAAAGATTTTAAATAAGGCTACAACAACAGCAAGAGAATTCCTCGATACTTCACCCTTGATGGGTGTTTTAAGTTCCCTTCATTCATCGTAGACCACCGAATTCTCAACCGAATTTGCTGTAATTTGGTATTTTGGGTTCACATTTGGGTAGCAAATCTTTGCACCAAAAATTATTAATATTGGTTCACTTCTTAACATAGCCCCCATATAAATATACCCCCAAATATTCAGTATTTTGGACAATTTGAGCTCATTTATCAATCCATTTGGCTGTAACTAAGTATTTTGGGTTCGCATTAGGTAACAAATATTTTTTAGCAAAAATCACAAATATTGGTTTACTTTTAGGGATAGCCCCAATAAAACCGTACCTTCCGAATTTCGGTATTTTGGGGAGCTTGAGTATATTTTTCAACCGAATTGGCTTTAATTTGGTATTTTGGATTTTCATTGGGTAGTAAATCTTCCCACCAAAAATTATCAACATTGGTACACTTTTAAGGATAGCCCCATATAAGGGTACATCCCAACTTTCGGGCTTTTGAGATTTTGTGTAGGTTTTTTTTAAACCGATTTGTCTCTAATTTAGTATTTTAGGTTCTTGTTGGTTAGCAAATATTCCTATCAAAAATTATTAATTTTGATCCACTTTTTAAGATGGCCCTCATGTAACGGTAACTTCCGAACTTCAGTAATTCGGGTAGTTTGGGCACGTATGTTCACCAATTTGGCTGTAATTTTATATTGAGGTTTTTTAAATCTTGCCATCAAAAATTATCAATATTGGTCCACTTCCTAATATATCTTCTCTATATATGGGTTCTCCAAATTTCGGTATTTGTAGGAGTTTTGGCACATTTTTCTAAATAAAGTGGATGTATTATAGCATTTTGAGTTCTAATTACGTAGTAAATCTTCCCACCAAAAAGCAATATTGGCCCAATTATTAGGGTGGTTCTCATATAACGGTACCTCCCAAATTTTGGTAATTTGTGGCGTTTAAGTACATTTTTCAACGAAATTTTCATGTAATTTAGTATTTCTCTACATCTCTACACTAAAAATTTTCAATATTGATCTCCTCCTCCGGATTTTTTGAGGGTGAAATAATTGTTTAAGGAACATTTTTAGTTATAAGTTTTTATCCTATTTCATTTCGTCAGAGCATAAACAACCGAACGAATTTGAGGTATTTTGAATGTCCACCTCATGGTAGAGGGTATAAAAAGTTCGACGATATTTTTATTTGTTTCAAAAAAAAAAAAAAAAAAAAAAAAATTGTATTTTTTGTACTTACCTCAGCCTCCTTTCTTCATTAGAAATTAAAATCCATAATTTCTTTACATATGCAATTTTATTTGTCAAATGAATTTGTTTGTGTGTGTGTGTTTTTTAAGCATCTCAATAATTAATAAATATTTCATTCAGGTCTGCTTCATCATCATCTTCTTCTTATTAGCTACTATAACAAATGTACAAAATTAATAATTTTTAAATATGCAACACTTCCGAAACTATATTCTTAAAATCAGAAACCAATTATTCTGATTCAATATTCCATATTCTAGTTTTTTTCTAATATTTAATTAAATCCTCCTCATATATGGCAAACTATAAAGGTATTAATATTTTTTGTTGTATTTTTTATTTGATTTTTTTTTTTAATAACACATTTTTTTTCTTAAAGTATATTTACAAATTTCGAAATGTTTTAATTTTTAGGATTTGTTAGCTTTGATTGTGATAAATGCGTGTGTGTGTATGTGGCTGTGTCTGAGTCTTGTGCATCTAAAATGTGCATTTATTCGTTTCGTTTGAATTTTTCTTAGAGAGTAAATAATTCTAATTCGGTTTTTTATTTTTTAATTTAATACAGAAATTGTTGTTTTTTCAGATAAACATTAATGTATTTCAATAGTTTATAGCTTTATTTTCTTTTGTAATAATTTAGAAATATTTATTTTTGTGTTTTTAGAGGACAACTTTTATTTTTATAATAGCAACTTTTTAGTTACATTTTTTTAATCCATTATGACCTCAGGATTAATATTACGCGTGTGTATGTATATAAATATGTGTGTATGTGTTTGGATTTGTGATGGTGTTAATATTAAGGCAGTTTATTATCATCATTATTTTTGTTTTTAAATATTTCCTAAAGTCTAATATTGATTTTAAATTTATGTATATGTATATATATATTATGTTCTTATATTAATATTTTTATAGTAATTTGTTTTTTATTTAACATTAGTAAAATGTAATTTAATAGGTTTTAGTATTTTTTTTTAATTTTTATTTTTGAATCTAGGAAAAAAATGAATAAACAAATTAACTCTCGATTTCCAAAACGAGTCAATATGATGCGTTACAAAATCTTGTTTCAAAATCAAAAATTATATGGAAACAAATTTTTATACCCTGCAACATATGGTGATGGAGTGTGTATACTCAAATATTACCTCAATTATCAGATCAGATAAAATTATTGATTAGAATAAAATTCTATGGCGATCTATGCAGGTCCGTTTGTTGAAGTCGCGATAGAGCTCTGATATTTTGCCCAGCCATTGCAATTACTTCTAGGATGTTTGGTATTGCAAATGGGATATATGGATCCGTCCGTTTTGGTGTAGCCCTCATAAACGAATACTCCCCAATATTCGGTATTTTCGAGATTTGGCATATTTTTCAACGGAATTGGCTGTAATTTGGCATTTTGAGTTCTCATTGTCTAGTAATTACTCCTTCAAAAAATTATCTATATTGGTCCACTTTTTAGGATAGCCCCCATATAAGCGTACCCACTAATATTCGATATTTTGGGGATTTTGAAGACATCTTTCCGCCAAATTGACTATAATTTTGTATTTTTTATTCTTATTGAGTGTCAAGTCTCTTTACCAAAAATTATTAATATTGACCCAAGTTTCAGGGTAGCCCCCATATAAGCGTATCCCTCATTATTCGCTATTTTATTGATTGGGGGTACACTTTTTTAATCGAATCGACTGCAATTTTGTCTTTGGGGTTCTCTTTGGATATCAAATCTTCCTACCGAAAAATTTTAGGGTACCCGTCATTATTCGATATTTCGGGGGTTTTAGATTAATGTTTCTACCGAATCGACTGCTATTTGGTATATTGTATTCCCGTTGGATATAAAGTCTTCAAACCAAAAATATTCAAGATTGGTGCACCTTTAGGGGTAGCCCCCATTGGGGGTACCCCTCATTCGATATTTTGGGTATATTGAGTAGGGTTTTCAACCGAACTGGCTGAAATTTAGTATTTTCGAGTTTCTTTGAATATCAAATCTTCCTATGAAAAATTTTAATGATATGTCCACATTTAAGGGTAGTCCCCATATAAGCGGATTTAAAAAATTTCCGAAGTGCAGGGATTTTGGGCAAATTTGTCAAGCGAAGTGGATGTACGGTTTTCTGTCCGAATTGACTGTAATTTAATATTTTGGTTTCTCTTAGGGTAACAAATCTTTACACCAAAAATCTTCAAGATTGGCCCATGTTTCGCGGTAGTCCCCATATATTATTCGATATTTTGGGGTTTTTGGATTCATTTTTCAATCGAATTGACTGCAATTTTGTATTTTGGGTTCACTTTGAATATCAAACATTTCTACAAAAAGTTATCAATACTGGTCCAAATTTCATGGTAGCCCCCATATGAGGGTACCCCTCATTATTCGATATTTTTGGGATTTAGGACACATTTTTCAACAGAATTGTCTCAAATGTTATATTTTGGTTTATCATTGGGTTACAAATCATCATACTAGAAATGATCAATATTGGTCTAATTTTTAATGTAGCCCCCATATAACGGTACCCACCAATATTCAATATTTTGGGGATTTTGAACACCTTGTTTCAACCGAATTGCCTGTAATTTGGTATTTTGGTTTCTCATTGTATAACATATCCCGATACCAAAAATGTTAAATATTGACCCACGTTTCAGGGTAGTCCCCATTTAACGGTCCCGCCCAATATTCGGTATTTTGCAGATTTTCAAGATGTTTTTCAACCGAATTGGCTGTCATTTGATATTTTATTGGGTTACAAACAATGGTGGGCAAAATGTTTCTTAAAAAAGGTTTAAGGGGAAATAAAAACAGGAATTATTCTTCGGAATTCATTAAATTTAATATTTTTTGAAAGCATAAATAATACCCAAGGAAGTTCAAAAAATTAAATCATTAAACAAAATTTCGGAACAAAATTCATTAATGTTTATTTTTGTTTTAACATCAAAAAATGTTAAGAGAACGCATCAACGCTGGTGTGCACGTCTGCCCAACTATGGTTACAAATCATCATACAAAAATTTGTCAATTTTGGTCCACTTTTTAGGGTAGCCCCCATATAACGGCACCCCCAAATTTCGGTATTTTGGTAATTTTTAACACATCTTTTTAAATCGATTTACCTGTAATTCGGTATTTTGGGTTCACATTGGATACAATATATCCTCACCAAAAATTAAAATTATCGGTCAACATTTGATAAAAGACCCCGTATAACGGTACGGCCCATTTCGGATATTTTGAGTTGTTTGAGCATATTTTTCTATCGAAT